ATATATATATATAAGTTTGAATCTTCTGTTACTGACAAAAAGTGTCCCCACCTGTTTGTCCAAACAGAGAAGTTTTTGGGACAGTGTGCTGTACTGGAGCGGGGCAGACGTTTTGTCTACTATCTGGTAAATCTGTCGTCAGCATCGTCATACAACATAAAAACCCAAGGTCAGTCTTGTTTCGGTCACTTTTTCTAACGTTTTTTTCTCAGATTACAAAGAAAAAAGCCACCCAGAGACCCACCTACAACAGCCTGCAGCAGAGTCTGGAAGACATGAAGTCTCACTGTGTAGAAAACGGAGTGACAAGAATATCCATGCCTCGGTTTGTTTCTCCTCTGTTGTATTCACTGTGGAACACGTTTCAAATGCTTAAATTAAGAACTTGCGCTAATGTCTCTAATTAAACAGCATGTTTGCCTCTTTCCTTTTCTCAGTATTGGGTGTGGACTGGATGGACTGGAGTGGTCCAAAGTGCTGGTGATACTGGAACAGGTCTTCAAACACACAAACATCTCCATCACAGTCTACAGCCTCCCTGAGAAGGCAGAGACCACAGTGATGAGGGAAAACATGCGCTAATAATTCATTAAAATGCTGTTTATTTACTTCACTTTTCACTGCTCTTCCTACTTTTTTTTTCTCCAGTGGGAAAATTGTTATCTTATCAATTATGTCCAAATAAAATGTTCATTGAAATAATAATTAAAAAAAGTTATAAAATAAAGTGACAGTTAATGACTAAAAGATGTACAGAATTATAATAATTCATAAAATGAGACCTTTATTACCGTATACATTATGTTCTTTTTACAATGTTTATTGTTTTACACAATGTTAAAGATACATTTTCATATAAAAGTAAAAATGGAGTTTTAAACAAAGATCCTGATTGCTCGTGCTCGAAGTGTGTGTTAGTGAAAACTCCCAGCTACCACAACAACAAAATTTAGCACGCCTGTAAAATGACTGGGTTAAAGCTCTTTTTGTATTTGTTGACGTCACTTAGCTGTGGTGGCCATCTTGAATTGGGTTGACAGTAAAAGTTAGTTGTAAAATCAGAGTTTGATTTAATTTTTTCCCAGTATGAGATATTTTAACAGGCGCATAAAGGCAATTACCGTGATCATATGTCTTTCAATGCAGTGGGGGATAACTAATAGCTAATTGAAAGTAATGTGGTGTTTTTAAAGTTTGAAGTAATCTTTGGCGGGATTCTTCAAGCTTGGCACAAGCTTTATGTGGAAATGTGCCTCTTAATTATTTGCAGACACCTTTCTGAGCCATCAAACTGGATGAGGAGTGCCATCGTGTCACTGCGCAGCTGTCTTCAGTCCTAATGCATTTTAAACAGATTAAAGGGGCAATTTAGAAATTTATAATTTAGAAACGGGAACCATATTGCACCAGGATGTAAGCATTTATATTTATTCTAAAATCTGGAATTATAAGGCTTTTTGAGAACAGATCTATTTTTCCAAATATATTGTGGCATTTTATTGTTTGTTTTTATTACTTTTTTTAAGAATTGTGTGCATTTGAAACGTGAAACGTCAACTTCAGCCCTGGTGACAGTCCTGACTCAGAACTTCTGTTTTTACTCTTTACACTGAACAGACTCCCGGATTATTTAGCATGAAAGGATTTCCACATGATGACGCTGATGTCAACATGTTTGACTGCAAGCAGACAGTCGGCGCCTGATTCTCTCAACATTAACAGCTGGGAACTGTGGCCACAATTATTCACTTCTTATTTATTCAATGTCAGAGAATTTTTCTCCTCGTGGTTTTAGGCCCTGCTTACACGACAACGATCCAATGAAAACAGATTTTTTTCCCCATTTCTATTAACACATTTACATGAAAACGTTCTAATTACAATCTCTGTTTACACGGCAACGGCACAAGTGGAAAATGTGTAATTCCCTCGCCACGCCACTAGTAGGTGCTATGTTCTTTGAAACTTTAAACAAATGTATCTAATTTAATCAGTAATCAGAGGTATTTTGGACCCAGGTTAACAAAGATGACACAACAGGTTTCTCTGATGATAACGTTCACAGCAGCTTGTGACAAATCAAAAGCATTGGCTGTTTTTCTGATTCTTCTCTCGTCACTTAAACAATAAAGTGTACATACAGGCCACCTTTTTAAGACCAACCAGCGATCTCATGGTTGTCCGTTCCCCCTCCATGTAAGGACGAAGTTCCTCACTCACAGCGACAAGGGATGGCTTTGACAAACAAAAGCTCCCCCTCCATTCTTTCTCATCAACTTCATTGTTTACAAAGTTATCCCACCACTGGCTTGTCCTCCCTGGTCGTGTAGCACCTCCTCGCTGTGTTTCTTCTTCGCATACATCCGTTAAGAGTGGAGCTGTATGAGATCCGTCTTCGATGATTTGAGAAACGGAGCACTGTGTTGGAGAGCCTTAGTTAGATTTATTAGAGGCAGAAGCACAAACAATACTCTGGTATCAGCCATTGTTGATAGTTTCTTCTTCTGTGGATTGTAGGAAGCTGTTGTGTTTTGGGTTGTACTGCACATGTGACACGGATTCCCTGACAGAAAAGATCTATTTTTTCTGTCAACACGACAACGGACAACGGGACGTTTTTGAACTGTTGCACTCTGGAGCCCGTTCTCAAATTGTGCCGTTGTCAGAGAAAACATTTGCTATTTTTGTGTAAATGAACAGTACAAACGCAACAAAACTCTTCCATTTTCACCTGAAATTGTTTTCATGTAAACAGGGCCTTACCCTGTGATGGACTTGCGACCCATCCAGGGTGTACCCTGCCCCTCACACAGTGATTGCTGGACATGGGCACCAGCGACCCCCGTGACCCAAAATGGAATAAGCGGGTAAAGATAATGGATGGATGGATGGATGGATAAACAGGGCCTTAGTCATTCAGGTACTCTCTGTAACCAGCAGATGGGATGAATGGGACTTTCACTAGTGACTGCGCTCTGATTGGTTTACCATAAAGAGCTCCAGTGGAGTGCTGTACTGACACCACAAGATCTCTTGGTCCTAAACTAACACCCTTTGAAGATGTGGCCAATTCCTACTTTGAATTTTTAAAATGCAAGAGAAATACCAGCGTTTCTCCTCAGACGTGTGCCTTATTTTACAGATCTACAGTAAATTATTTACATTTGACGGTGTTTTACTCTCAGGGACTTCTTCTATATTATGTTCATCACATTCAAAAAGACATATGAAATCGAATTCACTTTTAAAAAGTGAATCAGGTGTGACCAGCAGGGAAAAGCACTACAGTGGACTGTACCCTCGTACTTTCCATTTTCACCTCAGATTTCATGTTCAGCTCAGACTTCGGCCTTTTGTAGGGTCACTCACATTACAGCTGTGGCACGTGTCTGTGGTGGACATCTGCAGCACCTTGTGGCATGTTTGGACAACGATCATTTAATATAGAAGATGAGGAAGACAAAGGAGATGAGGAGCACCCAGTCACCAAACTGCATGTTTCATGAAGATCCATCCTCAATACTTACCAGCTACTTTATTAATGACACCATGCTAGTTCTCTGCTATGCTCCTTTGTCCTGCTGATCAACGTATTGTTTTTATGCTGCTAGTGCTTAGTGTATTTTTAGTTAATGTGTTTCTTAGTTCATATCTTGGATCTTATTACTTGTTTTTCTTTTAGATTTTAATACTTTTTTTGGATGTAACTTGGACCCTGTGTACATAATTTTGTTCCACCACATGTACCACATGTGGCGTGTATGACAAATAAAGTACCTTGAATCCTTAATTCGTCACGTATTTGGACCACCTTCTGTCCAGTAACAGTCCCGGGTGAGCCCAGGTTCATGATGGTATCACCTCCAGCTTGGTACAATTTGTGTTTGTCACTGCTTGCAGTTTTACATTTGATCTACTATTCTTGACCATTTCTTTATAATATAAATTTTTTTTCTTTGGAAAATAAAAACTGCAACAATCGTACACCCCACTGGAAATTCATCAAGTATTCATCAAGTAAGGAAACCAAAACCTAGTGGAGAATTGTATGTCGGCTAACAACTGGTTCTATGTTTTGATAATGTTTGGTGATTTCCAAGTGAACGTTTAGCCCTGAAGTATCAGGTATCTTTTAATTCATTCATCAGCTGTTCACACTGATGGCTCAGCAAACACCACAATTGCATTTCTCTGTGCTCTCTTTGTAATGTGTGCAGTGCTCATTGTGGGCCGTGCAGGCGGTCGATGTATTGTATGATCTATTATTGATCTGCTCGGGTATTGTGCTTGAGTGCAGCTGGGACACAATGAACCAGATGAGTCAGGGAGGGGCATAATAATAATAAAAAAAAAAATAGAGGCAAAGTGAATCTGATACCACAAAGTGAGGTCCACTAATCTGTTTACCTCAGCTGGGGAAGCCTTTATACAAGATGGAGAGAAGAAATGTTCATTTTCTGGTTATTTTTATTTAGTAGAATTCAGCAAAGTAGTTTAAACTAGAGAAATTACATTTACTGCAAAATGTAGCATGAATGCTGAGGGCTGATTTTTTTTAGCTAAAAGTGAATTGTTAAAGAAGCATAAAGTTAAATAAAAGCTAAGAGAAGCAAAACACCAGCTAAAAGAAGCAAAAAGCCCAAAGTAACACAAATACTAGTTAAAGATTAAAATTTGTAAAAAAAAGAAAAAAACTGCAAGTTAAAAGCAGAAAATGGGTAGTAGTTAAAAGATAAACGTGCCAAAAGGTTAGCTAAAAGGTAAAAATAGCAAAATTGCTAGTTAAAAAAAAAACCTTTTCTAAAAAGCAAAAGTGGCAAAAAGCTAGCACAAAGCTAAATGTAGCAGAACAGAAGCTAAAAGCTTAAAGTAGCAAAATGCTAGCAAAAAGTAGCAAAAAGCTAATTTAAAGCTAACCGTAGCATAGTTGTAGCTACAAAGGTGGTGTAAGAAGTTAAACATAGAGGAAATATGCTGGAGTAGATTTCAAAGAGGACAACGTTTAGGAAGGGATTGAAAAGTTCTCTGTGTATTTTTGTGGGCCAGATATTTGTAAGTGGAGTGAAAGATTTTTTGAAAAGTATGTCACTGATGAAGTGATGACCTGTCCAGTGCTAGCCTTGCCTCTTGCTCAGTGACTGCTGGAGGCATCAATGTCCCTGCTGCCCTGCAGTGGGTAAAGACCAGCAATACAACTCAATACTTTCATTATAAAACACTTTAAAAACACAGTACACTGATGAAAATGTTGAAAAAAAAATCTGTATTCCTCTTTTATAACGTTCTGTTGTTGTCACTGTTGTCCATTGTTGTCATCATTCTTTGTTGAAATCAGGTCTCTCTTGCAAATGAGTCCTTGAGGCTCAACGGGATTAACCTGTCTAAATAAAGGTTGAATGAAAAAAAAAAGGAATAAAAAACAAAAAATTGAAACACAAATTTCTAAACAATCAAAAAACAAGAACAATGAAACTAATTTAAACTGTTAAAAAAAGATAAAATCATAAAACAATTAAAAGTAACAATACAATATGTAAAATTCTTCATCCTAAACTGAGTTAAAAGCTAAAAGTGAAAAAAAGTGATTTAGGAAAGGATTTTAAAGCAAAAAGTCAGATAGATTGCAGGATGAATTAATTAATTT